CTACCTTGAGCTACAACCCCAGCCTCTTTAAGCAATATTTCTAATTGTGGCCAAATAATTAGATGATTGTCATGAAAAATATTATGTTGGAGTAAATCATATTTCCATGGAGCTCTGTTTATACTTTTTGTATTGAGTCATCTGTTACTAAAGTTATGAGCTTTTGTTTTCCTCTTTTTCTTTCTGTTCTTGTCTTTTTGTCATTAATAAGGGCTTCCCTCCAAATTCTCAATTTGGAAATAGCTAGTACCTTGTCTTTGTTCCAATATATTATATCTTATATGACTATGTTGTCACTACTTCTCTTCTTTCTCTTCATCTTTATTATTGTGTCATGTAATTTATATATATACATATAAAGACATTTGTATACACACATATGATTGCATATATACAGCCATTCATAGATATGCACGTGTATACATACATAACATCAAAGAGTAATGGAGGAAATGGTTATAGGATATAAAACTTAACTGTTCAGTTCATGGTCTATTGAGGAAGATTTTTGTCCCTTACTTCACATGAGAAAATGCCTACTCTGTAGTCATAAGCTAAAATTCTAAATTCAGCTAGCCATTTTATAAATATACCTATGTTACCTGGGGCAATTTGGGTAAAGAATATATGGCTCAGGAATTGGGTTAAAAATATATGATATGATAAGACCAATCATAATTGTCAGATGAACTCAAAATATTAGGGCAGTCAGGAATTTTGTCTGTGCAACACCCAAAGTAAGTAGCAGATTACAAACCAGTAGAAAACATTGAAGTTGTGGTTCTCCCATGGTTTCGTTTAATAATTGTTTCATAGAATCTTGAAATCTTAATTCCTGGAGAGACCTTAGAGGATCATCTAATTTAATCTCTTTTTCTAAAGCATCACTACTTTCTGTAACACCCTTGAGAGATCAGTGTCTGGTGCCATGGAATTCCTTACTTTATGTGGGTGTCTACTCCCTTATAAATACATTCTTTGTATTTAATATAAATCCGTCTTCCTGTAAGCTCTCCATTCATTTCCATTGTGGAAAACAGTACAGAATCTGAGTCTTACCTCTTCCTCATAATAGTTATTCAGATATTTGAAACTCTGTCCATTTTGTTTGCTTTTCCAAAGTACTTTTATACATAGCATGTATGTGTAGCTTTGTCAACCATTCCTTAATTATTCACCTCTCCAGAATATCAGTTGCTCCTGTTCTCACTTGTTATGATTTGTAAATGCCCCTCCTAAAATGGTATGTATTATTTAACCTAATACTTCAAATAAGATTTTACCTTAATGTTTGAGCAATACATTATATATACATTAGAGGGTAAAATGTCAATTCTTTAGAAAATATAGGTTCCCATTCTAGATTATCTATGACAGACTATCATTTATAGCTTTTATGGTAATTGTGTCTTGCTTTGGGTCGCATGTTGACTGTGTGGCTATTTAAAAACCTTATTTCTTTTTGTTTTGTTCTGTTTCCCTTAAGAAAAATAAAAACTGCACGCAACTTAGTCTCCCAAATCCTAGACCTATGTAATTAATATTTATTTTATTTTTTATAGGGGTGTACCAGGTATTAAACCCAGGGGTGCTTAACCACTTACCACATCCTTAGCCGTTTTTAATATTTTATTTAGAGACAGGGTCTCTTTGAGTTTCTTAGGGCCTGGCTAAGTTGCTGAGGCTGGTTTTCAACTTAAAATCATCCTCCTCAACTTCCCAAGCCATTGAGATTACAGGCATGTCACAGCTATTGTCTGATTTTTTTTTTAAACTAACTGTAAGATTTGTGTCTACCCTTATTAAATTTAATTTTCTTTGGTTTAAATTCATTGTTGCTACCTATTCCAAATTTTGAATCCCAATTCTGCCACCTAGCATATTAACAATTCCTTTGGGTATTGTGTTATTCACAAATGAAACATGTGTACTGTCAAACAACTTCTTCTAACTCATCAATATATTGAAAAAGATAGGAACAAGAAGACATGCCTCTGACTACTAGAAGAAACCTCCTCTTGGGTTGACACCAATCTAATAATTAATAGTCTTCAAGTTTAATTTTAAACCAAATTAAAATCTACCCAGCTGTACTGTTTTCTAGTGCATCTTCCTTTTCCTCTCCCGCAGTGGTATCAAGAGAGAATTTGCCTAAAGTCATTATAAAATAAAAATATTTCATTACTTTATCACCCAACTGGTTTTCTCTAGTAAAGAATTGCCAGTAATTTGGCATTGGTCATTTTGCATAATCCATGCTACTTCTTGGTTTTAGTATGATATTATATAACTTCATGAAGACCTTTTTGTACACACAAGCATGGGACAGGGCTAAGGGTTCTTCATTTTTGTGACACAATTGAGAGAGATTGGTATTTATATCCATACATTTGCTAAAGAAGAAAGAGGTTGAGGTATTAGAAACCTAAACAAAATGGTTTACTAATACTGGAGTAACATAGGCTCCAAGACCTGACCCATTCCACTGGAGAACCATGAAAGGTAAAGGCATCACCTTGACGCCCTCTTTCCAGTCTTTTGTTCTGCTTCCACATTTTGAGTATCATTTGATAATTATCATCCAGAATCCATGTGTGATGATGCATACCTGCAATCTCAGTGGCTCATGGGGCTGAAGCATGAGGATTGCAAGCCAGCCTCAGCAACCCTGTCTCAAAACAAAAACTAAAAAAGTCTAGGGATATAGCTTAGTGGTAAAGCACCCCTGAGTTCAATTCCCAGTAGTAACACACAAAAGCAACAATAACAAAACCCCTCTAATTATACAGGATAGTTAATTCTTGATATTATGACCCTTGAATATAGACCAACAGAAGCTATGTCCTTTCTTTGCTTGTTTACCTATGCTAGGTGTGTGCTCTGTTTGTTTCTAGAATGAAATATATGCCTTTTCTAAAGGTGAGTGTTACCAGAAATGACCTCATCCTGTCTGAAACCCCACTGTACCCACATGCTTATGATCTTTGTTCATACATATTTTTAGAACTGTAACTTAATTCATGGTGATGTGGAATTCATATAATAGGAATTTCCAGTCTTTAACAGAGAATATGATCATCATTTGCCACTTATTTTGGCCCCAGTTTTGAAAATGTATAAGAGGAATGGTGAGGAATGGTTAAGAATTGAAAAACAGTTAATTAGCTATTATTATTGTTCTTGTGAGACATGGAGAATTACTTCTTTGTAGCAATGTGAATTAAGTATACTTAGTTTGGTAGCAGAACCAGCAGTTGACAAAATATATGAGATAAGGTAGTAAAAAAGTCAAGTATAAAGATTTGAGCCAAGATTGTTGAAATTTGTTGTTCTTTTTAGAAAAAAGAAAGTTATGAATAATATGGAGTGGACTGTGAGGACAGGGTGAAAACTAAGAATGGGTTTAAAATAGTGCTGGCATACTCTGGGTAGAGATTTTAGGCAGCCAAAGTTCCTACCTCCAGAGAGATATTTGGAAGTTGCCAAAAAGATAACTGGTGAATTCACATAGTTTTTGGAGCACAAGAAAGGCTACAGATAAAATCATAGAGAATAATGCCTACATCTAGGATGGGAGTTGAGAGGAACTTGCAAAGAGAGTGTTAGAAAAAGGGTGAGGATAAACAAAACTGGTGCTACCTCTTAGGAGCCTAGGGAAGAAAGCATTTTTTAGAATAGTATGGAGTAAAACAACACCATCAACTTCCAAGAAGAAGTTGAAAAGTATAAACTGCTATCAGGTTTTTAAGTTTGGTGCTCGTATTAGTTATTGGTCACATTGAGCAGAAGAGGTTCTAGAGAATGTAAAAGGTAGATTGGAAGAGTTTACATAATGTATGCAGCAGTGGAGGAAGCTGAGGCAATAGACTAGCCTGTTTAGTTAGTAGTTCTTTGGATGAAAGGCAAGGGGGAGTTAGATAAACTTAGTTGTTGAAAAATTACTGGAAGTTTGTTATATTGTTTTAATTGATTTTAACTTCAGACTGTTCAATAATGAGTGCATAGTTTAACCACCATAGGAATGAAATTAATTGAGTTCTTTGCTCTGCATAACTTTAATAACAGACAGATGTTGGTTTTCCAGTAAAAACAACGGAGGTTGTTCTCTAAATTACTTTGGATTTACAGTGCTACAGAGCATTTTAATTACAGTCATATGTGCATACATTAGAAACATAATTTCAATACATTTTACTATGGTAATAGAAGCACATTTATGCCACACCATGTGACATGGCAAGCATTTTCTCTGTTGAGTGGTGTAAAATCTTTGTAACTCTTGCATTTTGCATTTTTTGCTTTGAGATTGCCACCATCATTTACATTTGCTAGTAATCCAATTTTGGATTTCATGGATATATATGAGCATGTGTGGACAGGGTGCCAGTGGAAAGCTAAGAAATGAAGAAAGGTAAAGAACAGCCAGAGGACTTGGCAAAATTACTCTTTCTTCACTGAGCCAAGGCAGCTGTTTTAGCTAAAAATAAGGAAGAAGGGGTATGGAAGAATTTAAAATTAGGTACATATAGGAAGAGAAAAGCTGGGTAAATAATTCAGGTATATAAGCAAGTTCAAGAGATGAATGAAGATATTACTCTGTTGAATAGGAGAAGGCCAGGCAAAGGATGGCTTACAAAAAGCCATATGTGAACCTAAGGTAATGAATAATTGTGGTTAACTAGAAGTTTTGTAACAGTGGTATTTAGAAGAATAGAAGAACGATGTGGTTCCAAGCACCATATTAACCAGAAAGAACTTTCTGAGAAAGGAGACAAGTCTGTGAAATTTTTGTCAGGATTCCTCCCTTACTCCCTCCCTTCCTATTCTTCTGTGCTATATAATGCCTGGGAACCTCAGATGTGGTTTATCTCAGGAATGGATAGTAAGTTAAATTATATTTTTATCAAAATATGGGTTTTTTTGCTTTTTAATTGACATAATAATTGTACATGTTATGGGGTAAAAACAATTGTTCAATACAAGTATATAATGTGTAATGATAAAATATAGAACACTTGGCAAATTTGCATGTCAGCCTTACACAGAGGCCATGTTAGTTTTCTATCATTCCAGTTATAGTGAATGGGCTATCAAATTTAGCACTATAAATGATATTTAAAATAACTATTGTAGGGAGAAGGAAGATGGCGGCGAGGGGAGTGCATTGCCCCCGTGTGCTGCTTCACTGTGTGGGAGTATGACAAGTCAGGACGGCTAAAGGATATCTTGTTAGGAATTTCCAGCAATAGTGGGGTGCTCTGGAACCTGGAGGAAGGATTTCCATCGCACGAGGATCGGCTACGGGGACTCAAACGCGAGAGGTTTGTCGCACGTAGGGTAACACTGCTTATTCAGCAAATCGCCCCGCGGCTAGAGTCTGCAGCGCGCGCTGGGATAGAGACACAGGGTTACAGCGCTGCAGTTTCTGCCAGCCGCGCAAGCACCGTACTCAGGGCTGAATTCTGGGTTCGAGACGGGGGAAGGAAGCGGTCCATCTCGGTTCTCCACACCGGTCAGACCACAGAGGAGGCCAGCAGCCACCATGTTGGTAAACTGACGTCACCATCCCTGTTTTCGACTGACTGCAGCTCATTCAGCCATAGAACAGGTAATTTCAGGCTGAAATTCGCCTGCGGCTTGCAGACAGATTGCTAGGGTTCAGCGCCTGGGTGCTTCTTAGAACCTGATCTTATTGGAGCAAACACCGAGCGCGGGGCGGCCGAGTTCCGGCTCCCGGAACCGTCCCGGAACCGCCCTGGCCCAGGGCTGCGGAGCCTGCGGATGCTGCTTCTTGGACCCTGCTCCTATCAGAGCATACACCAAGCACTAAGCAGCCAAATTCCGGCTCCCGGAACTGAGCCCGCGGGGACTGCTTCTTGGAGCTTCCACTTATAGGAGCTTACACCGAGCACGGAGCGGCCGAGTTCCGGCTCCCGGAACTTCCCTGGCCCGGGGCTAGGAGCCCGCGGAAACTGCTTCTCGGTCCGGGTCCTGCTGAGGGCCGGTCAGGACTCACCCGGTGCTTTGGTTGCCCGGCAAGGGGAACGAAATGCTGCCATTCGCATAGGATACCAACATGGCAGAGATCTGATGTCAGCAGAAAGCGGCGGAGGAGAGAACTTCATCAATACCAGCGGTGACATAAGCAGTTGGTCTCCTGGTAGGGGGAGTGAGGTACAGTCACCCGAGTCTCCTCAATTTGTCGTCGAGCCAGAGGGGAGGAGCCGGGCCGCCGCCAGCACCCGGAGCAGGCCCAGCGGCTCGCCAGCGTGGTGACGGCGTTACCCCAATTGGAGAGGGGGCGGAGCGGAGCCGCCACACGCACCCGCAAGGTGGGCAGACCCGCGACCCAGTGATACATGGGCGTGGTAGGAGGGGCAGGGCAGAGCCGCCGTTCGCGCTTGCAAGGTAAACAGACCTGTGACAGCCTGGCGGGTCAGGCCCAGTGGCCTACCAGTGTGGTACACACGTCACCCCAACTGGAGTAGGGGCAGAGCAGATCCTTCTCCCATGCCCGGATCAGGCCCTGCCGGTGTGGTGGTCACGTGACCCCAATTGGAGTGGGGACGGAGTGGAACCGCCACCCGTGCCCGCAGGGTGAGCAGACCAGTGATCAACCTGCAGATCAGGCCCAGGGGGCCGCAGGCGTGGTAGGAGGGGCAGGGCAGATCCGCCGCCCGCGCCTCCAAGGTAGGCAGACCTACAACAGACCGGCGGATCAGGCCCAGGAGCCTGCCGGCGTGGTACAAACACCACCCTAATTGGAGCAGTGGCAGAGCAGAGTCGCCGCCCGTGCCAGGAACAGGCCCAGCGTCCTGCAGGCGGGGTAGTCACGACACCCCAATTGGAGTAGGGGCAGAGCAGAGCCTCCACCCGTGCCCGAAAGGTGGGCAGATCTGCGACCGACCAGCGGGACAGGCCCAGTGGCCTGCCGGTACGACAGACACGTCACCCCATTTGGAGTAGGGGCAGAGTAGAGCCGCCGCCCGCGCCTGCAGGGTAGGCAAACCTGCAACCGACCGGCGGATCAGGCCCGGTGGCCTGCCGGCATGGTACACTCGTCACCCCAATTGGAGTAGGGGCAGAACAGAGCCGCCGCCAGCTCCCAGAACAGGCCCAGTGACCTGCCGGCGTGGTAGCCACGAAACCCCAATTGGAATAAGGAGAGAGCAGAGCCGCCGCCCGCGCCTGCAGGAAAGATATGCAAGCAATATGAAAACACAAGGAAAGAAAGGACCACAAGCAATGCAGGTCAACGCAACTTTAGAAGAGGTAACAGCTGCAGCAGATGGAATGTCAGATAAAGAATTCAGGATATACATGCTTCAGATGATCTGGAGTATCAAGGAAGACATTAAACAGCAAAATCAGACAATGAAAGATCACTTCGACAATGAATTACGCAAACAAATCCAGGAAGCAAAGGATCAACTATACAGGGAGATAGAGGTTATAAAAAACAAACAATCAGAAATCCTAGAAATGCAGGAAGCAATAAACCAACTTAAAAACTCAATGGAGAATACTACCAGCAGAGTAGAACACTTAGAAGATAGAACATCAGACAATGAAGACAAAGTATTTCAACTGGAAAAGAACATAGACAGCTCAGCAAGACTGTTAAGAAACCATGAGCAGAACATCCAAGAAATATGGGATAACATTAAGAGACCAAACTTAAGAGTCATTGGGATACAGGAAGGTACAGAGCTCCAAACCAAAGGAATGAGCAATCTATTCAATGAAATAATACAAGAAAACTTCCCAGACTTGAAGAATGAGACAGAATCCCAAATCCTAGAAGCCTACAGGACGCCGAATGTGCAAAATCATAAGAGATCCACACCTAGACACATTATAATGAAGATGCCCAACATACAGAATAAGGAGAGAATTTTAAAAGCTACAAGAGAAAGGAAGCAGATCACATTTAGGGGTAAGCCAATCAGGATAACAGCTGATCTTTCAACACAGACTCTGAAAGCTAGAAGATCCTGGAATAACATATTTCAAACACTGAAAGAAAATGGGTTCTAACCAAGAATTGTGTATCCAGCGAAATTAAGCTTCAGGATGGAGGATGAAATTAAAACCTTCCACGATAAACAAAAGTTTAAAGAATTCGCAGCTAGAAAACCATCTCTTCAAAACATCCTCACCAAAGCATTACAGGAAGAGGATATGGAAAATAACAATGAAAACCAACAGTGGGAGGTAGGACAGTAAAGGGGGGGGGGGAATAATCAAAGAGGAAAACAAACCATGTTTAGTAACAGAAATAAACAAATATGGCTGGAAGAACAACCCATATCTCAATAATAACCCTAAATGTTAATGGCTAAAACTCACCAATTAAGAGACACAGGCTAGTAGAATGGATCACAAAACAAGACCCAACAATATGCTGCCTACAGGAGACGCATTTGATAGGAAAAGACATACATAGGCTGAAGGTGAAAGGTTGGGAAAAATCATATCACTCATATGGACTTCGGAAACAAGCAGGAGTGTCCATACTCATATCAAATAAAATAGATTTCAAGCCAAAGTTAATAAAAAGGGATAAAGAGGGACACTACATACTGCTTAAGGGAACCATACACCAACAAGACGTAACAATCATAAATATTTATGCCCCAAACAATGGTGCAGCTATGTTCGTCAAACAAACTCTTCTCAAGTTCAAGAGTCTAATAGAACACCATACCATAATCATGGGAGACTTCAACACACCTCTCTCGCCACTGGACAGATCTTCCAAACAAAAGTTGAATAAGGAAACTATAGATCTCAATAACACTATTAATAACCTAGACCTAATTGACATATATAGAGTATACCACCCAACATCAAGCAGTTACACTTTTTTCTCAGCAGCACATGGATCCTTCTCAAAAATAGATCATATATTATGTCACAGGGCAACTCATAGACAATATAAAGGAGTAGAGATAATACCATGCATCTTATCTGATCATAATGGAATGAAACTGAAAATCAACGATAAAAGAAGGAAGGAAAAAGCATACATCACTTGGAGAATGAACAATAGGTTACTGAATGATCAATGGGTTATAGAAGACATCAAGAAGGAAATTAAAAAATTCTTAGAGATAAATGAAAACACAGACACAACATATCAGAATCTATGGGACACATTGAAAGCAGTTCTAAGAGGAAAATTCATTGCTTGGAGTTCATTCCTTAAAAAAAGAAAAAACCAACAAATAAATGATCTCATACTTCATCTCAAAATCCTTGAAAAAGAAGATCAAAACAACAGCAAAAGAAGTAGAAGGCAAGAAATAATTAAAATCAGAGCTGAAATTAATGAAATCGAAACAAAAGAAACAATTGAAAAAATTGACAAAACTAAAAGTTGGTTCTTTGAAAAAATAAACAAAATCGACAGACCCTTAGCAATGCTAGCGAAGAGAAGAAGAGAGAGAACTCAAATTACTAGCATACGGGATGAAAAAGGCAATATCACAACAGACACTTCAGAAATACAGAAGATAATCAAAAACTATTTTGAATCCTTATATTCCAACAAATTAGAAGATAGTGAAGGCATAGATAAATTTCTTAAGTCATATGATCTGCCCAGATTGAGTCAGGAGGATATAGAAAACCTAAACAGACCAATATCAATTGAGGAAATAGAAGAAACCATAAAAAGACTACCAACTAAGAAAAGCCCAGGTTCGGATGGGTATACAGCAGAATTTTACAAAACCTTTAAAGAAGAACTAATACCAATACTTTTCAAGCTACTTCAGGAAATAGAAAAGGAGGGAGAACTTCCAAATTCATTCTATGAGGCCAACATCACCCTGATACCTAAACCAGACAAAGACACTTCAAAGAAAGAAAACTACAGACCAATATCTCTAATGAACCTAGATGCAAAAATCCTCAATAAAATTCTGGCGAATCGGATACAAAAACATATCAAAAAAATTGTACACCATGATCAAGTAGGATTCATCCCTGGGATGCAAGGCTGGTTCAATATACGGAAATCAATAAATGTTATTCACCACATCAATAGACTTAAAAATAAGAACCATATGATCATCTCGATAGATGCGGAAAAAGCATTC